CCTGATGATGCAAACTGCAACGTTTGCGAAACGTCGGCATATCGCTGATTCAAGACACGGCTCCATTCCGGAAGCTATACCTAGACATTGTATCAATGGCCGTAAAAGCCTCAAATCTAATTATTGTATTTATTGTTTGAGCTACAATAAATTATGTATGAACTACAAAAGTTGCAATATTATGTTTTGAGGACAATATAAATGTAAAACGTGATACTTTTCATGTTTTTATTAATAAAGAAACTTTTTAAATTAAATATTACATAATAATTAATAAACTCGTGTCTCCTAATCTTATGCTAGGAGGGGACCATGTACAGTCTGTTTGATAAGAGCGTGTACGGCAAAATTTGTTAATAATTTATTGAAATGATTTGAAATAAAATACACACATACTACTTGATTAGAACTGTGATGTTTTATTATTAATAACTTGTTCAGTCGCCTTAATAATTGCCTAGCATCTCCGAGGTATACTTTCCACTAATTTTATAACATATTCTTGAAATAAAGATCTCCATATCAATCGAATTTCTCTTACTAATTCCTTGACCGATCAAATTTTCTTTCCACGAAGTTTAAACTTCATCAAGGACCAAACGTTTTCGATAGGATTTGCATCCGATGACTGTAACGGCCAATCCAGTAATTCAACATTATTTTCTTATTTCCACACGGTACAAAGTCTACTTTGATGTTTAGGATTATTGTCCTCTTGTAGTATCCATTTTTCGTTTTTCCTTATAAACCATGTTTGAGCAGATAGTAATAAAGCCTTCTCATAAATTTTGCTAGCGTTTAAGTGGTTCGTGAAGATATGCAAAGTGCCAAATCCTTGCGTAGAGTCACGTTTCGGTAAGTCATCGACATTTTTCACCTCTAAGTAGCGACCCACTTATATACAAATACTTTTGACTTTCTCCTATACTTAGCAGCCACTTAGCGTGACATTTTTGGTCCTTTCGGATGTGTACAAAGAAATACGGCTTCGAAACGCGATGTATATTTGGCACTCATGGCGAAATATATATTTTTATCACGAAGATCGAATAACAACTAAAGCTTTATCAACAAAGTATCTTAAAAAGTGCCTCTACCGGCTCCTGTTTGAATTTTCTGTCTACCCTTCTGTTTATATGTAAATGTTTTGCCGGACACGCTCTTATCAAACAAACTATATAATACCTAGGCTGCGGATTCGCAACGTTTCCCATTGTCTGAACACGTCAAACAATATAAAAAAATAGTATTCTTTCGGTAAAAAGTCTATTTCTTTCTAACGAAGCCTGCTTTATTCCCGCCACAAGACCACGATAAGTGGAATAAAACAGCCTTCGTTAGAAAAAAAACAGACTTTTTATCAAAAGAATGCTATTTCTTTATATTGTTTGACGCATACAAACAATGGGAAAACCCGCGGCTTAGGTATTATACAGGATCATCGAAAAGTATCGGACCCCCCTAATATCTTCAGTTAGAATGTATTTTGGAGAAAATGTCCAATAGCAAAGTTGTATGGTTTCAAGCGGGGAGTAAGATGATGACCTTGACTTTGACCTTGACCATGTCCTTCAAGGTCATTTCAAGGTCAACCTTATTTTTTTAAATGGAATCCCCTACCTTTTATTGCATATTCTTATAGCTTATCTCGAGAGCTTTCCAAAACGCTAGAATAAAACATTTTTTCATTAAGTACCTTTTGAATTATAAAGGTATGAAGTTAACAATTTTTTGACACAAAATGTAAAATTGATTGCTCAAGAGCTCGTACATTGATGCCTGCGAGAATGAGAGAATAAAGATGGGCCCCGCCAACGCTTTCGGGCAGATTCTCGCTAACGCCTTTGGACATCAGCATTCGAGTAGCTTCTCGCGATCACTTTCGGGCAGTATTCCGCCGTAGCCTACTAGCATCAGTGCTTGAAGCCGCACAACTTTGCTATTGGACATTTTTCCAAAATGCATTCTTACTGAAAATATTAGGGGAATCCAACACTTTTCGATTAATGTATTTTCTTTACACCAATTAATTGGTCTCATTATTCCGCGTACAAAAGTATTAAGGTTATGATTATTGAAAACTAAATAATATTTTACAAGATATTTTACATTTTGTGTCAAAAAATTGTTAACTTTAAACTTTTATAATTCAAAAAGTACTTAATGAAAAAATATTTTATTCTAGCGTTTTGGAAAGCTCTCGAGATAAGCTATAAGAATATGCAATAAAATGTAGAAGGTTCCATTTAAAAAAATAAGGTTGACCTTGAAATGATCTTGAAGAACATGGTCAAGGTCAAAGTCAATGTCATCATCTTACTCCCCGCTTGAAACCATACAACTTTGCTATTGGACATTTTCTCCAAAATGCATTCTAACTGAAGATATTAGAGGGTCCAATACTTTTCGATGACCCTGTATATCTATGGTCCCCTCCTAGCATAAGATTACGAGCCACGAGGTTATTAATTATTATATAATATTTAATTTTAAAAATTTCTTTATTAATAAAAACATGAAAGGTATCATGTTTTACACTTATATTGTCCTTCAAACATACTATTGCAACTTTTATAGTCTTTTTATAGTCCATACATGATTTGTTGTAGTTTAAACAATAAATGCAATAACTATTTATTTTTATTTTTTAGTCATCAACAATTTATTTAATTGTTTAAATGAGACTATAAGATCTCAAACGATGTAGAAAGAAAAAAGAAAAGTCCTCTACGGCTATTTTTGTGAAGAACACGTTTTAGAAACTATATTGATAACGTAAACAGCTTAATACAAGAGTATTTCAATGTTTAACGACTAGGGGGCACGGGTTCTTGTTATTCGATCGAGTAAAAGTTTAGAAGGGATTTCTTTTTTGTTAAATGGAAACTTTTTGGTGGGTGCCGCAGAAAAAATTGGAAAGTTGAAAAAGAAGGGCTACCCTAATTACATATATATATATATATATATATATATATATATATATATATATATATGATATTTGTTAGGAATATGATAATATATGAAACAAGCTGCCTATATCTAATTTGATAAATGCGTTACGAGATAATCACCATTGGAAAGGAGAGCCAGTATTTTCTATCATTTTTTTATCTATTATTTCAGGCAAGAATAGCTCTAAAATATTTTTTTAAGATAGAATATTAATAAGATAGTTTAGTGATATAAGGTTCTTATAGAATTAAATATAATTCAATGTGATAAGATTACATTCAAGCGAATTTTCTTCATGATATGATATTATAAATCGTCTGTTATAAGAAAACATTCAACTCAATAGTTTGAAATGGATAATACATATGTGAAATGGAATCAGTATGTGAGTTGTAATCAGAAAGAAAAAGTTTAAAATATGCCGTATGATACAAAGTGACTGCACAAAAGAATATGATGAGGTATTATTAACAATTGTACATGAAACATGCAGTAAAATGGAAATAAACTTTACATTAAGTTTGATTAATTGTGATAATGAAAATTTTCTAGAACTTTTAAGATAAATTATGATTACAATTGTTTTTATAGATTATTAAAGAATAACTTTAGGTGAACTTTTGTGAAAGAATATTATAAATAGTTTGTCCTAAAATAATTATTTAAAATAATTAGTATTTGATACAAATTTCTAAAAAAAATTTCTAGAAGAAATTTCTAGATATAGAAAAATATTAACTGACATACAAATTTTCATATTCAACATTATTAAATGTTTCGGAGTTGAAACGTTCGACTTAGACCGAGACCGTCGATAACGCTCAGCGCAGGGCGCGGATAGCGGAAAAGATGGTGGTGAATGACGAGACGAGTTAAGTTGAAGGGCACAGTTTCTTTACTTGCCTGGTCATCAGTTGAGCGGAATGCCGACAAATTTTGGTAACGATACGGAGATCTTCGTTGCACCCGAGGCCAGGTCAGCCGAGCGCGATGGATATCTTGCTGAGCGTCGAAAGGATGCTCCCCGATCGGAGATCTTGCGCACGAAGCGACGGATATCTTCCGCTGACCCTGGTGCTCGCGATCGCGTTACTGCCGGCGCTCTCACGATTTTTCCACTCGCAGGTCTGATACGGCGTTCGAAAAATATACTCTATTACGATCACAATCAAATTTATAAGAACAGTTTTACCGTATTTACGCCTACCACGGGATTGAATGCCGACGAGTTGGCGACACGTCGAGATGACCCGGGCGTTTACGCGACGAAGCAAAGAGATAATTTCTCTATGCTGTTGCGAGATGCGTTCGAGACGAGAAATTATACAGAAAACCTGGAACGACCTGTGAGGTGCCTCCCGCCCGTAAAGTAGTCGGCCTGAGACGAAAAAGATTCCGGACTACAGATTGAATTCGAGATGCCCCGGTCGCTAGAACTCGTTGCTGAGTTGGCAAAATGACAATAGATCTACCAGTCGGCGACAATAGTATTTAAAGGCTTACTGACTAGTAATTTTGCGTTTGCCTATTGGTTTACGATCGCGGAATTAGTCGCGATTGATCGCGATATTTCCTTATTAGGTAATGCGAGTAATCACGGTGATACTTACGCGTGCTGCTCGCCGATTCGCGGAAACGTGTTTTGATTGTCGTTGGCATAGCAACCGTGGCTCGCCAGCCAGCTGGTAATAGAAAAAAAAATATTTTGAATGTAGCGAGATCGTCGCAAGAGTAACGACGGCTCCGAGGGATCAATCCGGGATTCGAACTTTCTGGAAATATCGCTCGCACCGTCGTGCTTCCCGTTCAGATTTCCAACATTAAAAGAAATGGTATAATAAATTATTGAATTATATTGGAAATCTGTCTAGTGCGATATTGGTAAAAGAGTCGTCATATTAATCAACATAGAAATTTTCTCTTATGTAATGAGATCCATTCATAATCTATCTATCATTTTAAGCAGGGTAGTTAGTTAGACTGTTATATTATACACTTAGTTTGAATTGTGAAATACTTGTTAAAAAATTTATTGTTTTATTTTGCAGATGATAAAAAGACTAGTGATGATGTTAAAAAAGAGGGAGAAATTTTAACAGAAATGTTGGAGATTGTGGCAAAGAGGGATTCACTAATTGTTCTATTAGAAGAAGAACGACAAAGGTAATATATTGTTCTGTTTTGTTTAAGCACATACACTCACATACGCAAATAGATTTTACAGTTATTTATTATTAGGTTATATGCCAGATATATGCAAAGTCTTTATTTTCAGCACTCTGGTACGACTATTTAAAATAGCTATTTTTTTATTATTTTTAAAGAGTTGGAATTAAAATTTTTGAAAGATATTCCATGATTTAAAGATAATGATATATATATATATATATATATATATACAGGGTGACCCATTTTAACTTAGGCAGCCAAATAACTCGAAAAATAAGCACACTACGAAAAAATGTTTAGAATCAAAATTTCGTCATTTCGAGGGGGACGTACAATGATGTTAAAATTAGCCCCCCCACCCCTCCCCCTGGGCGGTGAGGGGGGGCAAGTTTGAAATCTTAAATGGGAACCCCTATTTTTTATTGCATATTCGGAATCTTTGGCTAAAAACACATACAATTTGTCTGAAACATTTTTCTCGATTCATGATAGATGGCGCTGTAATCGACGAAATTCAATTTCTTCGATTTCTCTTACTGAGAACCCATGCTTACGATTCTG